ATCCACTTAAGCTCTCTCCAATATTTGAGTACTGTTTCTAAATGAATGAGTAATACCTGCTTTAAGTTTTTTTTTTACATTGAGCCACCCAGATGTTGTAGTGGTTAGGGAAACCTACTGCAATAACGAAGGGCCCGGGTTCAAATCCAGGAGAAGGCATGGATGTAAATTGTCTGCCCCCTCATAATCAATCAAATTTTACCATGCCCCTCCTGCAAACTGAAAGCAACTGGGCAGATACCCGTGAATCAACTCCATATTAGGCGGGAAGGCCAGTCATATCCGCTGATACCTCTTTCGAGAGGATTAAAACAAAGACTATGCTACGGAGTGGTGCCTCAAATCCTCTATGCAGATTTATTTATTGAACTCTCTTGTTTTCCATCAGGGCTGAACTGGGTCACCCGGCACTTACACACCTCGGGTCTCAGAGAGCACCCTTAGGGAGGCTCTCTATGGACACCATAATCCACTTGGCAATCCAAATGGTCGTTGATAATGTCCCCGCCAGCAGTACACGGCTGCCCGTCACCAGGAGGCATTACCTGGAAAACACAGACTAACTATACTACCAGGGCCACCTGGTTCGAGGACTTACGCAATCCCCCTCAGTCCAGCCATAGAAATGACCTTCCTTCAGGTTCTGGAACCGCCAAGCTCAAATTATTGCCCCCCTCCAGAGTGCTACTGTCATCATAAGATACCAAGTCAGTGTATACACCCCTGGGGGTACGTTCTCCCATTCGATGTTTTCATAATAAAATGACTAGCCTAAAAATGGCAAGCGACTGTCATTAAAAAAAGTTTTCAACATTGAGAGTTTGGTGTTGCAGTTTTGAATTTCCTTTCTTTTAGTTTAAAGAATGTTAAAAATTTTTTTTGCTCTGTTGTAATGCATAATAAAGCATAACCGCATCTTGTCAAACTGCTATGAATTCTGGCTGTCATCATTCAACAATTAGCAGAAGCAGTAATAATGCCAATTTATCAAGAAATTTGAAATACCGTCACACTAATGTAATGCCAAGTACAATATATAATTACTTAAGTTTTATTTGTCTTTAAAAGATCATTTTGATAGTTGTGAAAAACTGAGGTATAAATAGCACACATGCTGTTCAATTAATGTTTTGGATAATAAATTTGAGACTGAATGAAAATGGTTCAAGAACCCATAAGCCTGTGAAATGAAACATTTCATTAACAAAAACAGATGTTTAAGCAACTACAATGTGCACATAATCATGCAGGATGAACTATAAATCAACAGCAGAAACTTACCAGGAGATAAAATGACATTTTCTTTTATACCCAACACAGTAGACACATTTGCACACCACCTCACATTAAAAGATTTTAACTATAATGTACTGGAGCAACAGTAAAGCATATCAATATGTTTAAGGTACAAATTTGTATTTCAGCAGACAAAGTGTTTTCATTTGATTTGGTTTATTTTGTTTATGGCAAAGCACTCAAGAGTTGTGTGTCTAAGGGGGAATGCTTTAGTGCAAGACTTACTGAAAGAAACTGGCTCATACACGTTTCACACATGGAAATCTGTCAAAAGGACCATGCAGCAGCCTGTTTGCCAGGATTTGAACCGCAGACTGAACTACCACTGTTCAGTAACTTTATTGCTTTGACTGGGTAAATTTAACATTTTAGAAAAGAATGGATCCCAATATATTAACATGCTTGAAAAAATACTTCCTTCAGTAACATGTTTCAATAAAATGGTAGTACTAATTCAGAAGTCAAACAACAAAAATCAGCGTTATACCTACAAAATTTTCACAGGACTAGTTTCGATGGTTTTACCGAACCATCATCTTCAGCTGCAAAACCGCAAATGAACAAGATAGGAAATAATGATTAGATAAGATAAGAAAGCCTGGACAAGAATAAGCAAGTGGTGCCATCTGTTGGCGAAGCCAGAACTAAAACATAATTTCTCTAAAAGCCGAAGGCAAATTTGGGTTGGAATTAGGATCGTTAACTAGAACAGAAAGATTTTTATGAATGTGAAATGCCTCTAGAAAATCCAGTTCTCCAATGGTAGTATCTTTAAAATGGTAGTATCTTTCACAATGATAATATACCATGGTCTTGAGCATGAACAGTAGACAGGTATTTTTCTTCTAAATTAATTCAAAAATTGCAGAGGCCTATCCAATCACCAGATCTCAATCCAGCTGAAAACATTTGGACAATATTGAAATAGAAAATCAGTTTTAAGAATACAGGCAATAAATACAGTGAACTGAAAATAGGGTTCCCTGTGTGTTCAGGTTGTGCCCCACATAAAGACGCTTGATTGGAAGAGATGTCATTTCAAGGAAGAGTATGCTAATATATTTTGACTACAGGTTGTTAATTAAAAAATGAAACTTAACTTCACAGAGTGTGCAATCAATGCCCGATTAAGGATTCTTCAATACCCTTCATGAGGTGCAAAAAGGATCATATAAACTTATATATGGGTTTTTTCCTGGTCTCAGCACCATATCAAAAGATTCTAGAGGCTTCTTTTGCCTGAGTATGATACTATATTCCTCTAGCACTAAGCACAAGTGATTTTGATGAGCTACTAAAAAGAAGCACCATTTTAAATCTGATTATTTCAGTAACTAGTAACATATTAAAGAGTTGAAATGTTTACATTACAGCTAAGATTTACAGACTTGCCTTATAAATTTCATGCACCTTTTCATCCATTAAGCTAAAGTGTACAAGAAGAAAGAGAAAAACGACTGTGCAATGTAAAAACTTTTGCTTGATCTTGCTTATTTAGTCTAGCATCATTTCTAGCAAAGTGGATGTGAAATAGATAGTATTGCCAAAGCTCACACTTGACAGAGTTATTCAATTCCTTCTCAGCAAATTCACACCAAAGTAGAATAATTTACATAATTACAATAATGCATCATATGAATTGTAAAAATAGTTACAAATATTCCCACAACCATAGTAAAACTTAAAAATAAAAATAACTTCTATTAAAAAAAAATGAAAATCAGAATTTTCAGCGTGATGATGGTAAACTACTTCCTTTTCACTCCTATGTCACATAGGGATCAGATGAATGAGAAGTGAGTCAAAGGAATGAATGAGGATGCTTCGTTTTTTACTTCTCTGAAAGAATCTAAGAGTAAGTATAACAAGCAACATTCGTTCTAAACCAGTTTTGCAAAAATTATTTTTTGTAATAAAGTTTTATGTAAATCAATTGACTTTGAAGTTCATTCATTTGTTATCTGTTTATCTATATTTCAAGTGAGTGCATTTGACATTCACCTGTCTATTGTTAGTTCATCTAAGTTTAAAATTATTATTGTTTGATTAGTTGTCCTTCAGTGAATTTATTAGTTTTCTGTTAAAAAAGAAAACTATCACATTTGTTTCACGGATAAATTGAATTATTATTATTTACAAAAAATTCTGGCAAGCTGATAATTTATTTAAAAGTAATATTAGCACTTTGAATAGCAGTATCTCCACAGCATTATTCATTCAACCTTCTGTTATTCTATGCAAAGAAAAAACGTTAGCACTTTTTCATTCAAATTATAGTGTTATTCTTCCTTTGAGCTATACAGATTAGTGTGAAAATCTCTGTAGTTTTTTTTTTTTTTTTTTTCCATCCAGTTTATTTGTATTAAAATCAGTTGACAATTATAATCAGGGGGGGGGGAGAATTTAGAAACTAGAAAACAATGCTTGCTTTTCCATCTGAGGATATATATGGCAAGGAAAAAGTGTGCTCATATAATTTACTTCATATATTTTTTTAACCCTCCTAAAACTCTTTTGATATGTTTAATAAAAGTGTAGCTGTGACTCCTCAAAATTCTACTTGTGGCTCTTGAACTTTCTTGAATTCCCTCATATGTATCCAACTGATGTAAAGTTTGGCCAACCCTGCAATATAAGCTTACAAAAGCCAGATAGTCCTTATGTTCAATGGTACAATCAGTAAAACAAACTTCCAAAAATTTTTTTAAGGTTTCTTTTAATGTTAAATCTTTTTCTTAATCATATTTTTTTATAAATTGATACTTATGGTGCTATATGGATATAAATTAAAAAGAAAACCTTCAAATACTCCATAGGAGTACATATTTATTTTACATTACCAGTAAATAAATAGCTACTGAGAAAAAAAAGTTTTAAAAAGTAGAAATTAACAAAAAATTACTCAATATCAATAAGTGCCAGAAGAATATCTTACTGATTCGTCAATGACAGAACGAAAAAAAGGTATGGATACTTCAGATATAAAAGATGTGAATAAAAATTTTGTACCAGCTAAAATTAAAAGAATAAAAGTGTAACGAATAGTATATCGCACAAAATTGTTCAAAATATTTTGTATTTTTTTATGTAGTTGAAATTTGTTTAGATGATTTAATTTTGAATACACAGGTAGAACTTGTGTTTAATATGCTAAATAAAAGAAAAATTCTTGAAATACATTTTAATTTTCAAATTACCATATTTTATGGGGGTGCTGAAGTACAATCTTGCTTAAGGGTGCCTCATGCTTACACAGCGGTCCTGATTAAAGTTTTAATTTTATGCTGGTATCACCTTAATTCCAATGAATGTCCATAACAAACCTGTCAGTAAGTATGCCAAGTAATTAAAAAAATGTTTTTATAATTAAATATCAATAACATATAGAACTTGGGACATTTAAAAAAATCACTGATTAAAATAAAATTATTAGTATGTTCCAATTTTATCTTTTCTTTATTTTTAAAGTTTAACAATTAATTGCAATTTACAAGAATTATAAAAATATTTATGGTTTATTTCCATTTATTTCCATCATTCTAAATAATAATTTTTTGAATGGTCTATAGAATTAAATTGTTATCTTACTTATTAACTTTTAAGTTTTAAAATGTGGTTAAGGACAAAAAATGCTTGCTTTCATGAACTATTGCAAAGCTTTTGCACCATGCTATATGATCTCAAATACAAACTGCATAACTAACCTCTTCTGGAGTACCCAAACGCCGGGGTGGGACATTTTCTTTCACAATACTAAATACATCAACTGGATAATTCTTTGCAGCTGTTTCAGAGTAAATTGATGACCCCTTAAAAAAAATTTAAATTAAATATACATTCATGTTATGACAAGTACAATTTCTGTAAAAATATACAAATTAACTCACAGGTGCCACCGCATTGACTCTTACACCATTAGATGCCCATTCAATAGCTAATGATTTAGTCAAATTATCTAAGCCACTTCGAGCTGCACCAGAATGGCTAAAATAAATAAAAGATTTATACATTATTACTTCAAAACCTATACATAAAGTAACACAGAAAAGGAAAAATTTTACTTGACATTTAAATATTTTTCTGTACACAAATTAATAAATATCAAATGAACATTCTAATACTGACTACTTAATATGATGTTACATTAACTTCAATAAAATTATCACTTAACAAAAAAAATGATAATAATTTCCTGACTAAGGGAGGGAAGTAAAGTTATTATTGCAGAGGATTTTAAAATAACTTACATAAAATTTTTCATCCAACACTAGCATATTTTAACTTACACAAAATTTTCCAACTCACTAGAGCATAGCAGCAGCAACTGATTTTATTGAAGGACTGAAAAACCAACGGAAGATTTTACATTTATTCTCACTGTATCTGGATAATCCAAGTGTAAAGAATATACTATATACATATGGTCCACTTTTAAACGCTTTAATTCTGTAACCCAGAAGTATATTGAGAAGCACAATGTCAAAAAGATGTAAGTGCCAAAGCCAGGAATTATTGAATAAAAATAAACGTTTATTAAAAGCAATATTTTTGGCAATGATTTAGTTTTATTTTATGCTGAGATACCAGTAATTCAATTGCATAAATTATTTTTAATAAATCATTCTACTATACGCAAGGCTGAATTATAAAACAGAAAAATGATGCAGGTTTTCAAACAATGACTGCATGTCATGTCAACATTAAAAACGTTAACATAAAGCAACACCATTGTCTTAGTTTTAAAAACTAACACAGCTCAACTTCTCTCACATTCTGACTCACTCATATACATTATAATTAATTTTATCTAGTTTTCATAAATATCCTATTTTTATATCTAGGCAATCCATAATCAGAGCTAGTACATGCATTAATTACTTAGCAGTAAAAAATTTGTGGTTCTCAGGAATCCTGCTTTAATATGGAGGTGGTAAATAATATGTTTGCAATAAGGCTTAATTCAAAATACCACTTTCTTCAACACACACACACACTATGATCTTACCAGACTACATAGTAATCAAGATATTACAATTTTAATTAAATCTAAAAATCTACAGGTTGTCTTTCATGCCCTAAAAAACAACTGGACACACTGTGGATGGCCATGCTTCAAATGAAAAACAAAACTTCACCTAGGAGGAAAGAACGCCCAGCGTTTTTCAAGGACACAAAACCAAAATAGTGTACACTTCTTTCCAATAAAATAAAATTACACCCATACCAGCAATATTACATACACCATATTCACAAAAGTTCTTATGCACCATTTTTTGAAGCTGATGGTCGTAAACATATGCTTCTAATTAAAAAAAAAGGGGGGCCTTAAATAAACAAACATTACAGTTCTGAAAGCTTAAAAAATCAATTTCACAAAAATTACAAAATCTTATCTTTTTATAGGGTCCTGGTTTTTTATGTTCAGTAAGAAGTTACACTCATTCTTTAAAAAAAAAGTAAGTTTTGACTTTCTGATAAAAATTGTTCAAGATATTTAATTTCATAATTTTAAAAAAGAAGAAAGTAAGTGAATTGAAAAAAAGAAGAAATACAGTAAATGTGACAAAAATTATTCAAGATATTTAATTTCACAATTTGGAATGCCTTTTTCGACTTGCACTGACGAATAAATTTTAAAAAATTTACAATAATTTGTGCTTGATTCCCCCCCTTTAATGTCATTATTTAATATTGTGCAACAATTTTTAACTTGTAATTTTCTTACATGTGGTAGTCTGAAAGCATTTTAATATAAGCAATTTTTATGAGCTATCAATTGCTAAAAATGCATTATTAATACTGTCATGCATCATCTTTATTACTTTATAATCATAATTTAACAATGATAAAAAAATTCATGCAACTAGTTTTCCTCTTTAGTTTATAAGGTATTTCTCCCACCCTCTTGGCATGCCAAGAGGTGCTCGTGGTATAGTGGTATATGCTCGTGGTATAGTGGTCAGCACGCTCGGCGCATATTCGAGAGGTCTGTGGTTTGATTCCTGGCAAGGGCACTGCTCATTCTTCAAGACTTCTGTTTAAAAAAATACATAATGTCTCAACAGTGGCACCCAAACTAAAAAAGGTGGTGGATGATGATACTCCACCACTGGTATTTGGCGATTGGGTCCCCTAATCCCCAGTCACGCTTTAAAAGGGGGTATATAAGGTATTTCTCCTACCTTCTTGCCATGCCTTTGTGGTGTAGTGGTCAGCACGCTTGGCGAGTACTCAAGAGGTCCGTGGTTTGATTCTCGACGAGGGCTTTGTTAATTTTTCATGAATCCTGTTTAAAAAAATATCTAATGTCTACAAGTTAATAAAAATACTGCTAAGAACTGGCTGTATGCCACATAAGCCACACTTTTCCAGAACATGAATTTTATCAGATTCTGCGAATAAGATGACTTCTGTTTGGGGAAGAATCCGATTATCTTCACCCCTGTTGAAAGTTCATCAAAAAGTATTCAAGAATCAAATCAATATGTTGCTAAACTATTTTAAAGGCTACACATTACGTCACAAAAAATATTTTTGTTGCAACTCAGGTATGCATGTAGCATATGTAAGTAGGTGCACAATGGCGAGTTGCCCAATGTTTCTTGTTTTTTAATTTTATCTATTTACTGCTCTTGTATGAAATTCTTAGTGCAGCACCATTTTGAAAATTGCTGTTTCCATTTGTAAATTAACTCATCAAAAAAATTAGTCACCGACGAGTTTATGAATCCTCTTTAAAGTCGGCAATGAGTTTGCAATTTTTCTCAGAATAATCAGAAAATTTGCAGATAATCAGAAAGTACTGAAAAGATTTATATTCATTAATACTTTTTACAACAACTTGCACTGGAATACTCAACAATTACACTATTGACAATAGAAAATGTCTTTTAAACTGATATTTCATTTTTAGCAATACAAACATGCAGTGGCGTAGTGAGCATAACTGGCGCCTGGGGTAAAATACCTTTTCGGCGACCCCCTATAAAAAACACAGTACTATAATTAATGTATAGAATATACTTGTAATAAGGAAATAATGCAAATAATAATAAAATGTTGAATCTGCCTTAAAATACTCTAAAATATATTTAAGAATAGTCACTATCTAACTACACGTCAAAATGTTATACACTTTTTCGGGATAACAGACTCAAGTTAGGCTTTACATTTTAGGCAAAAAAAATCTAGGAAAAAAAATAAAGACTAGCATTGGATTCAGAAATGTATCCACGTCGGTGGAAAAATCAGACAAACGATGATCTTGAATTAGTAAAAAAGGTATTATTTATTTTACATATTTATATAATTGTTTTGAAAAACATACAATTTTTAAACAATAAAAAGTTTAATATATATTATAGATAAGTCGATATATTTATTAATGACAATGTAATATTATACATTAATATAATTAATTACTATGTATATATTTTTCTTGCCTTGGATGAAGCAAATTTATCAATTACTTCATCAAATTCGATCATTTCAAAAATTTCTCTTTCCATATTTAAAAATGCTAGATCACTTAGGCGATCTTGCTCCATCATTGATTGTAAATATGTCAAAATTAATTTTAATTTGCTGAAAGAACATTCATAGAATGAATAATGAAATAGTATTTGATATACGACTCATAGGTTTGGAAAAACATTTTCTCCATACGATATTATGAACGTAAGATCTTTAATGGAGTTTTAGGTTCAGTTTCTTTTCTACAGTGGAGTAACATCTTGCAGTCGCATACACTGCTCAAAACAATTAGGGGATAGTGTGAGTTCGGTATGAAATAACAATATAGTCGACAACTTTTTTAACAAAAAGAAATAGAAGAAGTATAAAGGAAAATAATAACACTCACAAAGTTGGGAATATGCAAATTTAGTCTGTGACATTGAAAACTATGAATTTTAATTAAAGAGTGAAAAGCGACATGCAGCATTTCTTTTGTAGTAAGAGATTAAAAACAATTGACGCACGTTGAATGTTTTGTAGCAGTGAATATACAATGCCTCAACAAGATGACTTAAATAAGTCGGCAGCCTGGAAGGCCATCGGTCATTTACAAGAGGGTCAAACACAATCCGATGTAGTGGAGCATTAGGAGTTTCTTAAAATGTCATTTCCAGACTATGGAATTGGTTTTTGGAAACTGGAAATGTTTGCTGAAGATCGGTACAAGCTCGTATGCTTGCAACTGCACAAAACGAGAATCGGTATTTAACACTAAAGGTCAGAAGAAACCACACTATGAACATCACCTTCTAGCAAAAACACCTTCAGAGGGCTACTGGTACCGGAATTTGGTCCCAAACTATTCAACATCATTTCCACCATGTGGTTTGTATGCTCGCAAACTTATGATTTGTGTTTCATTGACACAGGTCCATCATGCTGTTGGTAGAAGGTGTGCGTGCATAGGAGTACCTCATATGGGGACGAGAAGACGAGAGAACCTCGTACATAATACTCCTCCATTTGTGCATGAATGTGTTCTATTTGTCTGAGGCGGAGTGAAGATCTGGGCCAATATTTCTGTCAATGGTCATACCGACCTGCACATTATCAGGAATGGAGCACTAATAGCTCAGCGTATCGCTGAGCCTCATCCCTATATCAGACCAATCGTGCTCCTTTATGCTGTAGCAGTTGGAGATGAATTCATTCTCATGGACGATAACACCACGCCCCATCAGGCTCAGCTAATGAATAATTTTCTTTTCGACGAAGAAATCCTTTGAATGGATTGGCCAGTATGTTTTTCAGTTATAAATTGAACACATGTTTGGGATATTCTAGGGAGAAGGGCTGCTAGTCGCTTATCAACTCCAGAAACAATTCAGCACTTAAAAAGTTGTCTTCTACAGGAGTGGGAGAGGATACCCCAGTCTTTTATCGATAACCTCATTCATTCCATGCCTCGTAGGTGAATGACATTGCTTTTGATCAAGGAAACCACACGTCTTATTGAAACTCATTTGTAT